CATTCTGGGCCAGGGACTGGGATGGAACGAGAGGGAAGCCATCTGCCCCTAGCTGCAAGGAGCATGTGAGGAGCCAACCACACTCTGGTGGTGGGACACCTGGTGCCTCTCCAACTCCTAGATCTCTAGAAGTCACCAACCCCTGAATGCCATCTCAGATCGCCCCAGTGACTTACGTCTTAGCAGAATAAACAACCCCAGTTAGGGTCCCGACACTGTCCAGGAGCCTGAAGTGACGCTGGACACCCACTCCGTGCCTCAGATCACAATCTACGTCTATGACCAGAGGGCACGACTACTCTGTGACCCGGGTGCCACCTTTCCTCATCTCTCTTCTTCAGGCGCTCCTTCCACTTGGTCACAGAGTCCTGTTGCTTTTACCTACCTGGCACCTCTGGAGCCTGAGTGCCCTGCCTCACCTGCCCATGCCACTCGGCCTGGACGACCGTCCCAGCCTCCTGGTTTGCTGCCCATCTCCATAGATCCCCTCTCCACTGTAGCTCAGGGTTCCTGCATCATTTTTTAAAAGACTGTGTTGGTCTGTTTTATGTTGCTGTGACAAAATACCTGAGAAAATCAACTTAGAAAAGAAAAGATTTATTCTGGCCCGCAGCTCATGCCTTTGGGGACATAACAAAGACACAACTGATCACATCACTCTACGGCTTAAACCCTTTAGTGACTCCCACTGTCCTTAGGATTGATTCTAAATCACTTGTTCCAAGGCCGCCTTCCCTCCACAAATGCAAGGGTTGGAAGGAAGGCTGGGCCACCATGACTCTGGCTCCCACTGCAGCCCTGGGGCCAACACAGAACCTGGGGCATAAAGGTGGCAACAGAGGCCCTGGGTGAGAGCTCAGTTTGAGAGGCAGGTGAACGCAGGTTCAAACCTGGGCTCAGCTGATCAACAATGGACTTGGCTCAAGGGACTTACTTGCTCTCTGTCACTTCAAATAGTTCATGAATGAATGACATAATAAATTATCGACCCAAAAGGGCATCTAGAGTGGTTAATTTTAAAGTTGCTGATACTTTCCTAGACAAAAAAAAATTACACCTTAATGAGGTTCAAAATGAGGTTAAAAAAATAGAATAACAACTCTAAATTCTCAGGGTACGTCATAAATCCTAATTGAACGGTATTCAAACTGACTTCCTCCTGGTTGTGTTACCACTTAACAGGTGGAGAGGGTCAGGCGGCTAAAGAATGTAAATAAGCAACCAACATTTCGCCATCTGGAAGAATAAGACATGGAATTACCATCCACTGTAGCTCCATATTCTTTAATAATTCAACAAGCACGTCTTATGCTTCATGCAACTAAAATAAGCATTTCAGATTCAGAAAGTGGCGTTTAATTTAAATATTTTGCAAAGATACTCGGGGCTTACTTTGATAATAAGAAACTTGATGTCAGACAGGTACAATGGACCAGAATGTAAGGACTGAGGGGGACAGAAATCACACCACAAATCACAACCGCTTAGGCAAAGTAGGGTTTAGGCCAACGTCTTCCAACAGGGTATTCAGCGACTCTGCAAGGGCTGCAGACCCGGCCACATCCTCAATTTCCATTTCTATGTTTTTCTCCTAAAACTAGTCTGTCCAAAACACCACTACCTTTTCAAATTCCCCCACCTCCACAGCACCCACCTGAACCTCTCTACCTGCTGTCCAAACCTCCAGTCACCTAAGGAGGGACACATAAACATCCTATCCATGGTTTCCTAGAATCAAGCTCCGTGGTGGGGAGCCTGAGAAGAGTGAAGTACACACGACATTGTGGGGTGTTCAGGGCCCCACCTTGAGCTGTTCCAAATTCACTTATGCATTGAAACACACACACACACACACACACACACACACACACACGCACACACACACACACACACACGGAACGGAGTGAAAGCAAAGCTGGCTCTTGTTTAATGACCTTGCTTCTTCCATCCCCTGATTGTCCCCCCAGATTTCATCAGTGTTGAGCTAGAGTCTGTGAAATCAAAACCAACACTGACTCCAGGAGGTAGACAGAGGGCTGGGTTTTATATCCTTTCCTTTCATCCTCCCCATCTGTCCGTCCGTCCGTCCGTCCGTCCATCCATCCAAGAATTTGAATTTAGAATTCAGAGACAAGATGATCGTCACGGGATGCCTCATCAGCATTTCTTGGACTGAAAAATGGAATCAGATCTTCCCTGACAGAAAGCAAGTCCAGTCAGGGTACCTGGGTGCAGAAGCTGGCTGTGCAGGTGACATGGGGGACGGGGGGCAGTTCCATAAATGAGCAAGTCACGCTGACCGCACCCAGGTCTTGACATTTGTTTTAAAAGGATAATGATAAGATATTTACTAAAGCTACTTTAAAAATCTTTTTTTTTGTTGAACCTTTTGAATTAAACAGGTTTGTCCCTACGTAAAAAGGGGAGTGGGTTTAATAAACAATTGTTTGGGAAGTTTTTGAGTGCACTCTGGGAGAACTTTCCAGAAACTGAAAAGAGAACAATACCTCTAAAGGTTGGATAACAAGGCCTTTGTAGGTCAGGTAATTCCCAATTCCTTCTTTTCAACATAACTGAAAGGGACCCAATCGAGTTGTCATTTTTGGCACAGAACTCAGAAGGAAGAATTAAGATACATTACCATAACAAGATTCCTACCCTCCCATGAACTCACTCGTGATTTTTCAGTATATATAGCGCTAAAAATGAAAAATAGGAAAAAAGACAAAATATCAAACTTGTTCTTATTCCAGCAACTAGTATTATTTAAAGATTTAGTTAGAAACTAATTTTAAAAGCCCATCTGCTTCGTTAATAGTTGAAAATGCGTTGCAATTTCCATTGAGAATTATTTTGGTAAGGAATTACTTAAAAATATTAGTTATTTGTTAACATCTTCTTTTTTTTTAGATCAACTGTGAGTTAATAATGGCTTAAATAGTTAACAGTTAAATTTCTTTTAACACTCACAATACCTGGAAAATGTCTTAAAATGCACACAGCCACACATGTGCGCACATAAATACGTCAGGGATGTATTCTGTATTCTATCAGAATAAAATGTAGGGGGATGAATTTAAAAAAAATAAAAGAACACCAGAGTTCAGGGGGAAACAAGAAACAACTTAAAAACTAGCTGTTGAGAGAGCTGTCCATTTTTTTTTTTTAATCTCTATAGATTTGGATCTCCCGGGATATATTTAAAGAAATATTTTTTATATCAACGTTTACACACACCATTCTTTTTCTTCATTTCTGGGGAGTTTAGCAAAGCTTTACAAAGACTTCTGAAATGTTGATAAAACAATTCCTGTTTCTCTTTTCACTTAGAGGCAACCTGCTTGACCCAAATCCTCAAAAACGATGGGAAAAGTAGAATATATCATTCACAGCCACCTTAACAAAGAGTCTCTGTGTCACTTGAAAATATACAAGGGACCAGGTAGTTTGGCAACATGACTCAACACTGGAAGGCTGCTGCTCCAAGGAGCTTTCCTGAGGGGTGGGTAAGCCAATTTACCTCCTGGCTTTTGAAAGTTCCCAGGGGTTGGGCTATATTTTTCAAGTATTTCACAGGATATTCTTTTCTTTTGGTAGGGGATGGAACTCAGGGGCATTCGACCACTGAGCCACATCCCCAGCCCTATTTTGTATTTTATTTACAGACAGGGTCTCACTGAGTTGCTTAGCACCTCGATGTTGCTGAGGCTGGCTTTGAACCCAAGATCCTCCTGCCTCAGCCTCCCAAGATGGTGGGATTACAGGTGTGCACCACCACACCCGGCCACAGATCCATTCTTAACCACGGATCTGAGCGACCTCGGTACCCTCTGCACTTAAAGAGGCACTCTGCAGCTTCTCTCTGGCATCTCGCATGGCCATCACCATTCCTGTGTTAGCTGAGCACAGCACTGCAGTGCCTCCACCGAGGGTGTGATCACCAACCTGGCCGCCAGGTCACTAACGGGAAGGTCAAGTGTGCAGACTCGGGACAAAGGGATGAGTCACACGCGGGATAGTGCGAGACTCCCTGGGACTGCTCAGAATGGCATGCAATTTAAAACCTATGAATGGTTTATTCTGGAATTTCCCACTTCATATTTTAGACACGATTAGCCATGTGTCATCAAAATCTCCAAAATAAAACCATGGATAAGGGTGTGGGTGGGGCTGCTGGACAAAGAAGCCAGGTGCTTCTGACCCACGATGGCTCCTGTTTCCTGTCGTGGCCCAGCCATGGTCAAAGTTACGAGGGGGGTGCAGGGTCTCTCCGTGTTCCTGCGGCCCTATTCCTAAATGGATGCACACAGGGGAAGGTTCTAGAACCTTCTAGAGTCTCATCTCAGCTGCACCCCTGATTGGCTGTCATCAGAAAAGCAACGGTTAAACCTCCTAGTGCCTCAGTTCCCTTATCTGTTAAATGGTGGGGACAACAGAACTGTCCCTGGGACCATGTGGCCTGGGTAAAACACTACCAAGCCAGCACACGAGAGTTTAATAAAGGTAACTATTAGTAGAGGTAAATGTCCAATTTAGAATTTTGAAAGTGGACTCAAGGGAGGAAGAGATGGGAACAGTGGTCCAGAACATGCACCGTCCTCCTCGGGCACCAGGCAGGAAGGAGTCCCCAGCACCGCCGTCCCTTGGCTCCTGGGCCCTGCCTTTGAGTCCCTTCCCAACCGGCAGCAGCAGCCCCAGTTCCACCCTGCAGGTGCCTGCATGTCACCTCTGAGGAGAACAGCCCCGCATTCCTGGGAACTTCCCCCAGACACACAGCTACAGAGCAGGAGACCTTGGTCCCCCAACTCCCGAGACAGGAGGGTGCACAAGGGACCCTAGTGTTGTGACATACAATCCACAAGATCCTATGCAAACCTCTAATGCACACATGAGCTTCCTTACCTAAATGTCCCCTCCCCATGGGTGGGTGGAGATGGCAGAGGGTGGCAGGCTCAAGTGGCTGAGGGTTCCTGATGAACTCAGCAAGGAAGGAAACTTACCGGAAGACAGATGAGACAAACGAGGACCGGTCTGGCCTAGCATCCACGACATCTGCACTTGCAGAATCCCCGGCTCCCAGCTCCCCAGCGTGGTCCCGATCATCTGCCATCTGAGAGGAGGAAAAAAAACAAAACAAAACCAGGCAATTGGTATTCAGTGGCATTGCTGGCCTTGTGATATTTTTAAATGATACTCACTAGGTGACACCGTTTCCAATTAAGCCCAGGGGTGAGCAGTTTGCATATTTAAGCTCCAGAATGACGACACCATCAATTAAACACACGAGTGCCAAGTCTATTCCAGGCCTCATTCCAGAGACACAGCAAAGAGCAGCAAAGGACTCACAGCCCTGCCTTGCCCGCAGGAAGACTCTCAGCCTTCACAGTGTCTGTTCACTGTCCAGTGCATACAGTCAATCATGGGAGGTTTCTATCAACCGGGATCTTTACCACAGTTCCTGGTGGGTCATAAAGTGCTCATCCTTTGCCTGTTGTTGCTCAAACACAGTTCAAGAACACCAGCACCTGGAAGCCACCAAGTCCTCTGTTTCTGATGATTTTACAGGGCTCTACCAAGATGGATTTCTAGCAAATCACTTTCCTGTTCAGGAATTGTCAAGAGATCTGCAGTGTCCACAAGCTTAGCTCTTAGCCTGTCTCCTTGGGCTTCACGGGCTTTCCAGTCTATGGCCTGCCACCCGTTCTCGTGAATACAGAGTTCCTGTGGAAAGCAGCCCAGCCCGCTCACTGGCATTATCTGTGACTGTTTTCTCGGCAGGCAGAGTTGAGTCATTATGGTCCACAGAGCCAAAAATATTTACTACCTGGCTGTTTACCCCATGCTCACTCCTTCCAAAGCCCTTGTCTTGGTCTTGCGGATTCGCACTCTGCTAATAGCCTGGGTCTGAAGGCAATATAAACTCATTGTCAAAGGCATCTGGCACACCAAAGGTGCTTATTAAATGGATACTAAGTGGAAGTTTGGGAGAAATGAATCCCCCAGGGAAATGAATTAGTTGAGGACAATGCTCTTCTTGGAGCATTAGGATGACTTCTCACAATCTAGTGCTGTTCCACTCCTCACGAAGGGACCAGGGATCCTCTTTGAGCAACAGAGGGAAACCTCTCCAGACTGCATTTGTACCTGTTCTCAACCTCTGAGCCTCTCAACCTCACTGAGCAGGCCCCAGCCACCGGGGCCAGTTCTGTTCCCCTTCCAGGGCTAGCTGGGATGGCTGGAAGACAAGAAGGCATCATTCTACAGAACATGTTGTGCTCCAGAGTTCAAGTAATGACTTCTGGAGGTGGGGAGAAGGAATCCAGCTCAGAGAGGGATGTCCACAGAGGCCAAGTGACGGCCTGCTGGCCTGGAGCTCCCAGTGTCATTGTGAGCTACCTTCTGGCTGACCTGAGAGACAGCTGGGCAGTGGCGAGGTGGGGGGGACTTTAGAAGGTGATGGGGTATTGATGGTGGTGAGATTTCATGCACACCCAAACTATCCCCAAACTTAAGAAGTGTATATTAAATACGCACAATTTTTCCACATCAATTATACCATAATAAAGTATTTTGTTTTTTAAGAAAATCCTTCAAGCCAAAATGTCTCTAAAAAAAAAAATCAAACATTTATATTTAATATTATCAGGAAAGCTGAGAATCCTGGAGACTCCCTGACTCCCTGTTACTCATTCAGTGAATACCTTCTGGGAGTCCAAAGCCCCAGGCCTGGTCTAGGAGTCAGGGACACACCTGTGAGAAGGGGGACCCTGTCCTGCCATGTGGAAGGACAGACATCGATGACAGATGGCTCAAATGTTGACCTGCAACTGTGGTGGGTACCGGAAGGCAAGTGCTGAGTGGCCACACAGGGGACCTTGATAAGCCACCTAGGAGTGAGGGAAAGTTCTCCAGGGACAAAACAGACTCCCCTGAGATCTGAAAGGGGAAGCGGAGGGCAGGGCAGGCGGCACAGGCACAGGGAGCTCTGTGCTCCTTAAACAGCAGTAGGTTCCATCCAAGGAAGAGCAAGGCTTAAAGTCCCCCACCTTCCCAGCCACAGGGAGAGGGCTTGGGACTCAGCTACAGAGAAGCAGAATTAGGCTGGGCGTTACAGCCCCGTGGCGGGAGCGTTCCCTCTACTCTCTGGGCTAGGAGACCTTCTTTCTGAGGCCTAAGCATCACCTCTGGCTGACTCTGACCTCAGCTGAGGGTGGCGGGCCTTTCTGCTAACAACTTCCGTTAGCGGTGGACTGGACTCTTGAATCTGCAAGGCTCAGCATCAGTTTCTTCCTCATTCTACCAGGCTGGGCTTGATTGCTGGAAACACCCAAGGGCCCAAGGTGCGGTTCCTGACCTTGGTGGGGTTCTTCCCAGGAACGCCAACCCTTGGTTTTGACCCCTGGCTTCCTTTCATTTTCACCACCCACAGAGAAAACTCAGGCTGGGCTCAGTTCTGCGTGCTTCCTGGAGAGGGCGCACCTGGCACTGTGTTCTTGTATCTGCCCCAGTTTCAGGGTCCAGGCTGCAAAGCGCAGACATTCAAGGAACACAGCTTCTCCCACTGTGAACCGCGCCTAATGTCTCTTTAAATGATTTAATAGACGATACCTACTGCTAATGGCCTGGATGTGGTTTGTTCCCCAAGGGTTCACATGTTGGAAGACGGATCCCTAGAACGGCGACAGTAAGAGGCAACAGAACTTTTAAGAGATGGAACCCTGCAGGAGGTTATTAGGTCTTGCCAGGGGAGCTGCCCCCTCGGAAGAGATTAGGGTAGCTCTTGTAGGAACCTTAGTTCATTCTCTAGAGAATGAGCCTGGCCATTCCCTGGCTGCTCTGGCTTCCTGTCTTACAATATGCTTTCTTTCTCTGGCATGTGCTCTTGTCGCTGTGGTGTCATTCACCATGAGGCCTTCACCAAAGGGGAGCTGATGCTGGGCTGGCATCATGCCCTTGAACCTCCAGAACTGTGAGCTAAATACACCTCTTTTCATTATCAAGGGATAAACCTCAGGTATTCCATTATAGTAACAAAAAATTGACTAATACACATCCAAAGCACTAACAGCGCCAAGCACATAAGAAGTCTTAGTTGTTATTATTATTGTCATAACTCACCAGGACTGTACCTGTATGCAGACTGGGAGATCACCTTAGCTTTTTATTTTTAAATCACTGAAAATTGGCAGGCACCCAATACATATTTCTTTATAAATTAACTGAATAAACTGCATATCAAACAACTGAACCAAAGGGACCCAGGAGGATGGTTAAGAGCCCAGGTGTGGCCACCACAGATCAGCTCTTGTGTGTATTGGCCACAGAACCTTGGAACAAGTAGTCAGCCTCTGAGCTTCAGCACCCTGGTCTGTAAAATGGGAAACGGAGATGCCTAAGTCTCAGGCAGCTGTGAGGACCCAAGAGACAAGGCATGGCACACGCTGAATATTTACAAATATTCTCCATTATCACCTCTGTCCCCAGGACTGAGAGAACACTCAATGTCAGACTCCACTGATATTTTAAAACAACATCCATATTTAAAACAGCGTTTGTGGATACTGGAAAAAAAGATTCCTGTATCGATCACTAAACAGGCTTAACAGGTGCGCACAAATTGGGGCAACTGGTACAGAGCTGGGTGGGGGAATTACTCCCAGTTATTGCGTGACCTGTTGTGTTTTCCCCCTAGACGTTGGGAAACTGACTAGCAGTTACTTTCCCTGGCAGGTGACATCACACAATCTGCACCCCACTTCTTGCCCCAAGGAAGACATTCTTCCTAAAGGGTCCAAAGAGAAAAAGTCCTGGTGACCTCCTCACCTCCAGTCTCTGGAGGGAGGAAGCTGGGCTCTGCCTGGCACTCAAGTGCTCCACTATGTCACCTGACATTCACAGGTTGCTAGGAGACAGGAAACTTGACCCTTGTCTTGCCTAAGAAACTTCAGAGAGGTTAAGTATGCTGCCCAAAGCCACACAGTTTGCACGTGGCAGAAAGTGGACTGTATACCTAGGCAATAGCAATACGGAGGAGGAGTAAGGTCAGGCTGAGCAGACTCTGAAGGAGGAAACAGTCTGAGTACACAAAGATCAGGCCACGTCAACCAGCGCAGGAGTTCATGGGAAGAGGCCTGGGAATAATCCACCCAAATCATCTACAAGTAATTTTACTTCCTTATAAACCGGAAAGCTGAATTCAAAGGTGAACGGACGCAAGAGTCCACACATAGGGCCAAGTGTCACCTGGCTCTTTTTCACCCCCTCGAGATACCTCCAAGAGCCCTGCAGCAAAGGGTAGCCCACAGTGAGCTGAACGCCAGCATTCTTAACCCTGACAGAGGGCTGCTGGGCACCACCATGCCCTCCTGCATCCGCACAGCGACAATCCGCCCGGGATCGCTGCGATTCCACCTATCAGACGAGGCACGGAGAGGGCCAAGGTCCCACAGCCGGAAAGCAGCGGCGTGGGAACTGGAACCCAGGCCAGTCTGACCAGGGAGCCCTCCCTCCTTCCCCGCCCAATCCCGAATGCAGCGTCCCCAGGCCCCAGGCTCTAGGAGAAAAGGGACGGGAAGCTCAGCAAAGCCAGCAGGAGGGGGCGTGGAGAGTGCTCTCCGTCTCTTCAGCCTCGGCGCCCGCGGTTGGGCCACTCCGCACGCGAAAACCGGTTCCCACAGCGCGGCGGGCGGAGCGAGGGGACCGGGCGGGAGGGGGGAGAAGGGCAGGGCGGCGGGCGGCGGCAGGAAGCGCGCGGCGGAAGGGCTGCGGAGCGCGAGCGGCGGCGGGGGCCGCGGTTACCGTTCCCGAGGCGGCCCGAACCTGCGGCAGTCTCGTCCCGCAGCTGCTAAGATCTGGGGCCGCTTTCGCGAAAGCGAAAGTAAAAGTCCCAAGTTTTAGGGGGCGGAGCCGCCCAGACGGGACGCGGAACCCGGCCAGGCCGCGTGCGCCGCGCCTGGGACTGTGCGCTGCGCAAAGTTGGCGGAGGACGGGCCCCTCGCCGCGCTAACAGCTCTGGCACAGCGCGCAGCGCAGCGGGCCTCCCGCAAAGTGGCCCGGACCACCGTGCGCACTGTCCCGGGAGGTCGCCCTCTGCAAAGCTGGCCGCGCGCATCACCCCGGGAGAGCGCGCCCTGCGACTGTGGTCCCGCGCCATCCCCGGCGCGTCTCGGGCCAACTTGGCCGCGCGCACAGGAAAGCGTGCCGGACGAAGTTTGCAGACTTCTAAAGGATCCCGCCGCGTGCGCAGTTCCCCGGAAAGCCCATTCTGCAAACTGTCAGCCGCGCTCAAATTGACTCGCAGCGATGGGGACTCTGTCTTGTCACCCCCTCCTACCCTGCCTCCAGTCTGTACCTCTACCTGGGCCTTCGCACCAACTTGAAGGCTCAGTTCCCAAAGCCGGCCAGACCCTTGACACGACCCCAGCATGTGCAGTTCGCATCCCCCAGGGGCTCCGCGCCTCATAGGATGTTGTTACCTTCCCCCAAGACCGACCCCTGGGCCAGCTGCGAGGTCGCTGTGGTCTAGAGGCCTCCAGACGTCGCTTCCACTCGTGAGGGCGCCCTCCTTCCCGCGGACGCTAACTCTGCTTTCTCTCCAGCAAGTTAGCTCCTCGCAATCCAGACAGTTTGCCTAGATGTTGTGCCAGAATCGTTCAAGAAGTGTTTACGGAGCGCCCCCAAGTGCCAGCAGTGGGTGTGTGACCGTGAGTTAGCCCAATGCACAGAGATTGACTTCCACCCAGACCCTCCAACACACGCCCTCTTTCCCCTTTTGGTTGACATCAGGCAATAACCTCAGCTGATTTTGCTTGCCGGCTCTCTCTCCCTTGTGCCTGAAACGTCAGTGTTATCTCTAAAATTTCACCAGGTAAGATCACTTGGTTTCAAGAAAGACTGGAGTTAGGAGTAAGGGAATAATTATAATTGATCAACTCCTATACATTCCTAAATTCCCACTTATTTTTTCCACTTGAATTTTGTTTATTTATTTTTAATTTGTTTTAATTAGTTACACATGACAGTACAATGATCTTGACATATCATACATTTGAGTCCCCGTATTTTTAATTTTTTATGCACTTAACATGATTCCTAATACAGGTGCCCACGTTCCTATTTAATACCAGTGTTCATGAAGTTTTGGAGTTAAACTATTTTAGATACTAAGATAATTTTATTTTAAAAAAATTGGTTGTGAATCATTTGAGAAATCAAGGATCCTGTTGATAAAGCAGATAAGTTACTCTGATGTATGTAACTTGCAAGGCTGGGATATTGGAGGGTTTTCTGACATACAATGAAACTATGCTAGAAGTGAGAAGGGGACATAACAATTAATCTCTGCTCATTTGATAATGAGGAATCAGGCAGAGAAGCTGCTCACACTCGAACCTGCTAGTGGTAAGGATCATGGTGCCTAGAAAAACAGTTGAGTTTTCCACCCCCAAGAAAGCTGCACCATAAGTGTTACGTTGGGTTGGCCACCAGGAATTCATAGCTGGTTCAAATGGAGAGGTGGCTTGAAAGGGGAACCTTTTCTAACCCCCGGTACTTTATTGTGGGTGGATGTGTGAAACTCCAGTGTTATTGTTCTCAGGCTGGATTATCACAGTATGGATAAGCAAAGTCACAGAAAGTTGGAAGGGAAGAAACCATTTTGAATGTTTCCTTAAGTCTACTGACATTTTGAATCCACACAATACTGTCTTCTGAATATACCTCCTCGGTGTCTCCAGCCTTGGACCATGTCATTTTTAACAATTTATTTAATTTTTTTCTTTTGTTGTGCTGGGATGAAACTCAAGTCTTGGCCCTAAGCACTCTTCCCCTGAGCTGCACCCCCAGCCCCCGTCATGTAATTGTTCCATGCTTCCTTTCTATAATGACAGGAGGATAGCATGAGAATCCTGCCACTCGTTCTCAAAACATCCCCAGCCCTTTCTATTTGGATGGTTTCCCAAGGCCTGTCCTTGCAGCTGCTCCTGGGCAGGTCCCTCTGGGCCTTCCCTCCAGCCCTCTGCTCTGCTGACCAGGCTCCCACTAGTTCTCTGTCTCTACCTGCTGGGCACATCACCTACTGGCCACCAACCGTTCCTTCTCCACTTCTCTCCAGCTCAGGCCAACCATGACTTAGCATAGGACCCCCACTGAAGGATGTCCCGAGATGTTCAGAAATACCAGGCTCAGGCTGGGGGCGTGGCTCACTAGTAAAGCACTGGCCTAGCAAGTGTGAGGCACTGGCTTCTATCCTTGTTACTACATAAAAATAAATAAATAAAATAAATATATTGTGTCCATGTCCATCTAAAAAAAACTAAAAAAAAATTTTTTTTAAAAGGAAATACCAGGCTCTGCACCAGCAGGTTTCTGCCATGTGTGGAGCATGGGAAGCTCAGGCAGAAACTCTTCCCTAAAGGAGCAATTCATGTTGTAATTATTATCAACTAATGGCCTCTCAACTTCCAAATCATCCTTTTTGTCTGTTCTGTGAAAAATTATCTGGGCCCTTAGTAGTTTCCCTTTGTTAAACTTTGTCTGTAGGGGGCGCTGGAGAGACATTGCCGGTGGAAAAAGCTTTGTTTCCTGGTTCTCTGCCTGGTGTGTGCCTGCAGAGGGGCTAGCTTCTCAGCACCAGCTTCTTATGGAGTGGCTCGTGGTCAGAGCACCACACAACCAGCAGTTTTCCCTGGCACCCCCTCAGGTGGTTTTGTAGCAGAGTACCTCTATTGAGACACCTCTCCAAGAACTTCTCTCTTTGGCATCTAGAGGGCTGACTTCCAGAAAGTTCCAGAAAGCAATTCCAGCAAGTTCCACTGGCATGACTCCACAGTGCCTTTTCTGCCATCCAGTGAGTCACAGCCGTGCTCCCTCCGACGAGGTTGGGACCTCAGCCCTGGTGGGGAAACAAGGGAGGCGATGGGTTCCCATTTCAGCTCCAGGGGTAGTGGCACGTTCCGTTGTTGTTTTGTATGAGTTTATCTAACCCCCTGTTCCTCAGAATGGGACTGTATTTGGTCCACCCTTATGACCTCATTCTACCTTTAAAGAGGTAGAATGAGGTCATAAGGGTGGACGCCAACCTAATATGACTTTTTTCTTTCTAAGAAGTGGAAACTTGGACACAGAAACTCAGAGAGGGGAGACCATGAGAGGGCACAGGGGAAAGACTGCCATCCATGAGAGAGGCCTCAGGAGGGTAGGCTTCTGGCCAGGAAAAGGCAGCCCCCGCAGTTGGGTTTTATTATTCAGCCTTGGCCCTGTGTGCCCAGGAATGGGGGTAAGGGTAGGTGAGAGAGCGTGAGCACTAGAAACAGGGCTCTGCTTTGTGAAGCAAGTGTGGGAACACAGTATTGACTGTAGGGTGCAGAGGAGGGAACCGAGTCGACACCATGGGCTCTGAAGAGCGGCATGGGGAGTGCATGCTGCATCTCACAGGAGAGCTGCCCTTTCCCCAGCCCACGGCCAGCTTCTTTGAGTGAGCGACTCTTGAACACCCCATGCGTCTTCCCCTCCATTCACCGAGGTTAGCTCCTTCCATGCATGTTGCCCACCCCAGAAGTCCCTGCAGCTCCTGCAGACCTGTCTACTCTAAAGGCAAAGGGGGATTTAAAGGTCTAGGGGTAACCCTCAGCAATGGGCCATGAGACATGAATGGGCAAGCTTCCCAGACCCCCATCCTTCAGTGGGGTGATTCTGAGCACATTCTATACACTTTCCCAAAGGGTCCCCAGCAAGACTGAGCCCCAGCTTCCTGTAGCTGTAATAAATTCACTTTAATGACTTTTCTTTCCCTAGTCCGTGGGACTACCTCCCAAACAAGCTATCTATACCCAAGTTCTGGCTTCTAGCTCTGCTGGAACCATGAACCACGGCAGGCACGAACTCCTGGCGTGGGAGGAAAAACCCCAGTCTATCCTGAGCAGCAGTGATAGAATAAGGGGTCAGTAGCTGTCCCCTCACTTGACCCTTGTCACCTCTGTAATTTCAAAACCAGGCCATAGATGCAGCCCTGAGAGTGCAGGAAATGATTTTGGAGCTGGGAAGAATTGCCTCATGCTCGAGATGACACAATCAAGACACAAAAAGATCTTGACCAGCTGACTCGAGGGGTCCACTCTTTTATTTATCAAGAGGTAAAAAGGGAACACTACGTTTAAATTCAAAGGGAAACCGAGTGCCCCATGAATGCAGCAGTCATTCATGTGGAACAAAAGGCTGCTCAGCTTCTCACTGGTCACCAGCTCCCTGAGCCAAGACTTAAAACAGTCAAAGCAACATGGGGTGGTGCTGCAGAAGCATCCAGATGGAGGCTCCACAAAGCTCTACCTGATCCACCCCCAGGCCCCCATCCTGGACTCTGCTGGTGGGACAGCGTCACATGCCTCTCAGCTGCTCCTTCAGACCCACTTGGCTTCACCTGTCATGGCCTGTGCCTACTTATGTCAACCCAGCTGCACTGGTGGCACCCAGCTCTGTGAGGGCTCTGGCATCTTCTCATAGGCACAAACCACAGTGTCTTTAGGGTTCTGCTGCCTTTGGGGTTTTCCCATTGACAGTGAGACACGACAGGCTCTGGGACTCCCAGGACACATACACGGCATGAAGAATAAAGGACTTAATGCTCAAAATCTTTCACCAACAGGAGACAGAAGCTGATCACAGACTGGGTAGCAGTCATTTATGTGGTCTCTGAAGATGGAGATCAAGTGACCTAATATAGCTTACACATATTGGGCATCCCTAGTCCAAAACTCCAAAACAGGAAACTTTTTGAGCACCAAGATGATGCCATGAATAGAAGATTTTATTCTGTGAAACTTTGTTTCATGATCAAAATTATTTAAAATATTGTGTAGGGCTGGGGATGTGCCTCAGCAGTAGAGCACTTGCCAAACGTGTGAGGTCTTGGGTTCAAAAACTAAATCTAAAAAAAAAAAAAAAATGTATGAAATTATCTTCCAGCCATGTGTATAAGGTGTAAATGAAGCATAAGTGAATTTCATGTTTAGATTTGCTTCCTAAATCCAAGACATCTCATTATGTATATGCAAACACTCCAAAACAAAAACAAACAAAACAAAAACAAAAACCTCTGAAATCCAAACCACTTCTGTTCCCACGCATTTTAGATGAGGGATACTCAACTTGTAGCAGGTGCTGTTCACCTTGAGAACCAAACCTCGTACTGACCATGTCCCTCATTCATTTCCTGCCCACTTATTCCTGCTCCCTGGATTACACTGCACAGTAAAGTCCTTGCCACGTAAGCCTTGACCTCGGGCTCTGTGTCCTGGAGAATACAGGCTAAGGCCACGTGTTGTTTGAACCAATCCTGTGGCCAGAGGAGCCCTTGGTGTGCTCATAGACTGGGTCTCCAATGGCCTGCTGTAACCTGTGTCAAAGGGGAGGGATGGAGGCCCAGGAAGGGAGGGGGCTGTGCAGAATGGGAGAGGGGTGTGGTCCACGCACAGTGTCTGTTGTCTTAGTCTGTTTTTTCACTTCTGTAACAGAATGCCTACGACTGAGTAATTTGTAAGGAACAGAAATGAATTTGGCTCACAGTTCTGGAGGCTGGGAAGTCCGACAGCATGAAGTTGGAAGGCCTGCATGCTGTGTCATCTCATGACAGAAGCCAGAGGGCAAGAGGGAGCAGCTCACTCAGGCGATGACATTAATCCACCAACCACCCCTCATTAGGCCCACCTCCCAATCCTGTGGCATAGAGGATGAAGTTTCCAGCACATGAAACGTGGTCCCATCCAAAGCACAGCATCATCCCGACAGGTGGGCTGTGTCTATCTTGCCTGGCAGTGAGTGGAAACCATCCCGTTTCCAGTTTGATGGGGGTTTCTCCTCTTGATTTCTGACATCTGACAGAGCAGAAGTGACAGAGCAAGTCAACTTAAGCAGCTTTCTTGCAACGTCCGTGTTTTCCCGAGTGTGACCGAGAAGGGGTGACAGCTGAGGGCTGCATCACCACCTTTGGCAAGGAAAAAAATGTTTCACGGCTTTTTCCTTGAATGCAGTCGACCCTGATTTCTCAGTCCCCCAGGCCCCCAGACTGGGGGCAAGTACATTCTCAGTGATTTTGGGGGCTCCCACCCCCGTAGCCAGGTAAGACTTGGTAAATCTGGTGGAGAGCAAAACATCTGGAGTTGCATTTCTCATCTGCTCTGGCTAGTGGCAACCCTGCTGTCTCATCACCTACCCAAGCTACATTTCAAGAGAGTTTGCGAAGCCTGGAGTCCCTGATGGGCCCCCTTCCCGTGGTGCACACAGCAGCTTTGTGCCCACAGGGGAGAACCTGAAACTCGCCTCTTCTCATGGGAACATTACTCTTCTTCACTTACTTTCTCTCCTGTGAATGTCCCAATGTCACACCAAAATACTACTGACCTCTCTCCACTTGACCTGGTGACACCCAGCCTAATCTCAGAGCATTGAGATCAAAGGTTGCTAATTGGTAGCCTGCCAGAAAGATACTACCTATGGCCCTGTTTAATGGTTTTATGCCCATTTTTGTTATATAAAAGAGGTAATTTTGTGTGTCAATGCATGTTTTCAGCTTCTCTGGATATATCAGAACATTTGGGAACACTAGTTACTAATTCCCTGTGACAACAGATGGCTGGGTCTGAGGATTTGGGGATTTTGGGATGGGGTGTGTTCTCCCCCATTTGGGAAGATCCTGTGACTTCAAACCTGGCTTCTCTAGGCATGGTGGGATGAGTATTAACTTAGTTCCTTAACTTAATAAACATTTAAAAGAATTTTTTTGCTTGTACCAGGGATTGAACTCAGGAGCACTCAGCCGCTGAGCTACATTCCCAGCCCTATTTTGTATTGTATTTAGAGACAGGGTCTCACCGTGGTGCTTAGCACCTTGCTTTTGCTGAAGCTGACTTTGAACTTGAGATCATCCTGCCTCAGCCTCCCAAGCTGCTTGGATTACAGGTGTGCACCACTGTGTCCAGCCTCAATAAATATTCATCGCACACTTTTTAGGTATCAGACCTTGTGGTAGGTTCCGGGAATATAGACGTGGCAACAAGGATCAAATATCCTGTGTTGGTGGAGCTTGTATTTTGATGGGGGTGATAGAATTAAAAATAAATATATTCATATTTAAGGTGGTAATAACCACAGTGAAGATCCTAAAGCTTGAAGTAGGGAATAGAAGGTAAATGAGCTTGAGGGGGGGTGGGTGGTGGCAGGTGAGGGAGCATTTTTGTATAAGGTGACGAGATGACATTTAAGCTGAGACGGAAGGCAGTGAGAATGTCACAAAGTGGGGGGGGAGAGATTTTTGTCCTCAAGCTACACTTTTGAAGGCCCATGACACAAGAGGACAAGCAGAAAGTCCTGTTTGGAACAGGACAGAATACAAAGGCCTGAGCACTAAGAGTTCTCATTTGCCATATTGCATCCCACTAGACGCTCCCCACAATTTATCTTACTAATTTTTCACTTATACTGTTGTTTAAGTAAAAATGTTTGCTGTTTAAGTGTATCTAGTAGATAAAGCTAAAATTCACGTATGAGCTCTGCCCTTCCAGGGGAGTGACTCAGTCCTGTTTGACTTCCTGAGTTCTCGGGAGCTGGCCTCTTGGCATTAGTCACAGAATGCCTACAGCCAGCTTTTCTAATGGGATCACGGGTGGTGCGTGGCATAGGCTCCAGGTTCTTTTCTTGGGTTGAGATCACAGCTACCGTTCCACTACTACCCGCTGCCTGGTCCTACCCCAGGGTTTGGCTGTCCACATAAACATGATGCAGTTGTGTGAGTTCACTCTTCTATTTAGAGAAGCCCGTCAGCTAGAAATACCTCCACCTTATTTCTCAGACGCATGCGTGCGTGCTGAGAGCGAGTTGCCAAAATAGCCCCTTGAGTAAGTGGTGGCTTTAAAAACCAACCAACTGCTGACTCAAACCAGAAGGTCAGTAGAGGAAAGTGGACGTTGGATTCTGAACGCAGGATCAAGGAGCCCAAAGGAGTTTGTAGTGTTGGGGATTTTTTGGAGACTTGAGCAAGTAGCCCGGGGGTTCTCCTTGGATTTCCCGCCTGTTGTCTGCCCACAGTCTTCATTCTTCAGACCCCAAGATGAACGTGCAGGCCTGCTCCAGGTGTGGCTATGGGGTGTATCCTGCTGAGAAGATCAGCTGCATTGACCAGGTCAGTAGCCACAGCCTGGCCTTTGGGAATAATGACAAACATGGGGCACTTGTCTTCTTACATATGGATATGTGGCTTTTTCTGAACCACAGGAGAAAGATGTGCTTTTCTACCTTTGTTAGTTCTACCCACTTCCGTGTCTTCTAGGTTGCCTCAAAAAAAAAAAAAAGTTGTATTTATTTAACATAAAATAATCATGTGTGTGTGGGGTTTTTAATTTTTTTAATCACCATTTTAATCCTACATCTCAATCTTTAAACCTAGAATATATAGGAATCCTGAGCCTGGGGTGGGGGATAAACAATCACTGAGTCTTCTCTGTGATTTCTAGATCTGGCATAAAGCATGTTTCCACTGTGAAGTGTGCAAGATGATGCTGTCTGTGAATAACTTCGTGAGTCACCAGAAAAAGCCCTACTGTCACGCGTAAGTGTCTGATGCCCCTTCCCTGCCGCTTGAGTTTTGTTCATTTTTTGACAAGTAGGTCTCCTAAAGGAACAACCTGTGCCCTCCACGGTTAAATCCAAGCAGTGTCCCCAAAGCGTCCACTCACATCCAGTCACGGCAAAGATCTAAAGTGCGGTGTTATGCAGTGGGTAGAGGATTCCAAATTTCTTAAAGATCAAATCTATCTACAATAAATTCTTATTCACTTGTTAAGTGTTGTACAGTTTAACTGCCAGCAGCAGATAGGCAGAGAGCGCTTTCAGGTTTTTAAAGTCACTTTCAAATCCTTTCCTAGGTTTTTTTAGAAAGCTCTCAAGTGATCAGTTATCTTTAAGTCCTTATGTGCTGAATTTAATTGGTTTTATTTTTGTTTTAAGACTTTTTTGACCAGAAAACTATGAACTTAATTATTAAATTTTATATTTACTGATTTTAAAAAAACAACTGTTCCATTAAGAATAATCATTCAATCTTCTTGGATAACGGGGCGTTTCTGATTTTGATTTATATCTCATTTTTGTAGCCATAACCCCAAGAACAACACGTTCACTAGTGTCTATCACACGCCATTAAATCTAAATGCGAAGAAGATTCCAGGAGCCGTGGGTGGGGTAAGTCACTTAATGTTTACATTTCAAAATAGCCTTTCAAGAAAATCCCTCTGCTCAGGCACCTGTTGGGTTTCTAAGTGGATCTCTGTAGGGGATGGTTCATTTCCTCCACAGACACATGCAAAGTGTATTTAAATAGCACCTGTCGCTCTTTGTCCTCCCTCAACATTTGGGGCCAATACACAGGATAATCTGGGTTCAGTATTTGATCCTTGATTCTAATATAATCTTTCTGTCTGACCCGCTCTGGGCAGATGGTGTTAGTTGAATAGGCCTTGCATCCGCTAGTGCTTAATATTTAAAGCAAAATTTACAGGGTTGGAAAATATTACAGGGGCCCTTCTTTTCTTTCCTCTGTCATATGTTGGTTCAGAACATTCTCAAAACTTCCACTTCCACACTCTGAAACCTCTCTTTCATGAATTGCTTAAGATTTTGTGCAGCCTCTCTTTCCCCTGCGGGTAGGGGGAGGTCAGAGATGTTTGGATTTGGAAATGAGATGGGCTTTGGGAGGGGAAGCGGGAGGTGGATGCAGAGGCCGTGTTGATGAGCCTGACCCCTTTTCCCTTTTGAAACATCAACAGTGAAGTTTTGTCAAATAACTCGCCGTTGACGGAACTCTTGCATCTCTTAAAGTGATGAATCATTGGAGTTCTCTGGCCCTGGCCGGGTGAGAAATAGCTCTGTGGGATGGCGGTTAGCAACTTTCTAAAATTAGAAAATTACCATCGAGGTGGAGGGCTCTCTAATAATCTCTCCTTACCCCATGTCCCTTGTTGGTGTGACCCCTCACCCCTTATACTGACAGTGGCCTCACCGTCAGGAGAATCTATATTAGACGGAGCGGCTGCCCTTGCCCTGTGACTCTTTACATCTGCTCCACACTAATGGCCAGTTTACAGTATGTTTATTTAACAAGCCTAATAGACTTGCTTAATTCACTTCCTACACATCACAAACCAATGAAGAAGATCCTATTATTATCCTACTCTACTGGTGAGGAAACTGAGGCCTAGATAGTTGGTCATCCATCACTGATTTCTAAAGATCCACAAGCCTTAAAAATCCACAAGCAGTCCTAGGTTACTAAGAAGACTATGCCTCTTAGAACTTTGATTTTTATCTTTTGATGTCTGCGGGCAGCTATGTGAAATTACTATAAGTGTCATTTAGCTCTTACTTCAACAGTGCCAGGAATTCGGCTGAGTTCTCTGTTTTCTCATGTATTCTTTGCGAGAACCCTCTGAACTAGTGTTATATTGCAGTTGAGGGAGTTGAGACTCAGAGAGGTGAAGTAACCTGCCCAGGTTCATCCAGCTTGGTGGGTACAAATCCAGATCTTTCTGACTGCAGAATTCTTGTCATCGGCCCAATTCCATATCTACCTTGAAGGTGGCAAACTTTCTAGAAGCAAAAAAATACTTGTTGATGTTTGCACGTATCCAGATGTTTTACAGTTGTGAACGGGAGATGTGTTTACAGGATGCCCTTGCATGTATCCCACTCTCTACAGAAAGACTGTCGTGTCGTGTCGCATCTTCCAACCCTACCGAGCCTCAGCTGGCAGTTCCACCTTACAGTCAGGCAACAGGTCACACAGGATTTACCTTGCTGCAGTGCTGAACTCTCTTTCTTTTAACTGTGTGTGACAGGTCCAACCTGGCTCGAGGCAAGGATTATCGCTGGTTCTGCTTCCAGCCACAGGCAGTCATGTGGGCATCCCAGGAGGCCTGAGCGTGTCTATTTGTGTGAATTTATGTGACTATACGACTGTGTGTGTATGGACATATGTGTGTATGTGGGGAGTGCGTGTATGTGTGTATGCAGGTATGAATATGTGGGCACACACACACATATATGTACATGTGATATGTGCATGGGTGTATGTGTGTCTACATATTAAAGTGTATCGCATATGTGTGCATGGTGTGTGTGTGCGTATATGTATATGTGTGTGTGCTAGGTATGTATGTGTATGTGTGCATATGTATGTGCATATGCCTTTGCATGTATGTGTGTGCATGTGGTGTGTATATATATGTGCACACACTGTCTTCAGGCGTGTGTGGTATACACGTACACGTGTACATGTGTGTGCGTGTGTACAGATGTGTAAATGGTATGTGTGTGCATGTGTGCGTGTGTATGTACAAATGACTACTGAGATCCCTTTCTTCTCCTTTCCCACCAGGGAAAATTTTAAATGGTCAGCTATGTCCCTTCTAGGCCCCAGATCTGCTCCCGAAAGACTTTTATGCAACCCATCTAGGGGGTGTGATGGGTTATTTTTTATGCCCCTTATGTCTCTGAAGAACTTTGCC